CATGCCATCTTTTTAACGTAATTTTTACACCCCTATAATTTGTTTCCAAATATCAGGGGAAAATTGCCATTCCCTCTACAAAATAGTGAATTCCTCAGTAAATAACATAGGCTACATCTCTCAGTGACATTTAAAGGGTTAGTTCACCCAAAAATGAAAATTAAGTCATTAATTACTCACCCCCATGCTGTACCAACCCCGTAAGACCTTCGTTCGTCTTCGGAACACAAATGAAGATATTTTTGATTAAATTTGAGAGCTGTATAAATACCACATTGGCTCCTGAGGGACTGCCTCTTGACGGCCCAGAAAGTCAATGAAGAAAATGTTTAAATATCCCAAGTGACTACCGTGGCTCAACTATATGTTTATCAAGCGACGCGAATACTTTTCGTGCGAAAAAACAATAAAAAATAACGAGTTTATTCGACTATTTCTTTTCTTCCTTGTAGGCCAGAACGAGACTTCCTTATAGATTTCCACGACGCATGCGCGAGAATTGCGATCTGAAGTAGTGTAAGCTGTTGTACGCAGATCGCAAATCTCGCGCATGCGTCGTGGAAATCTATAAGGAAGTCTCGTTCTGGCCTACAAGGAAGAAAAGAAATAGTCGAATAAACTCGTTATTTTTGTTTGTTTTTTTCGCACAAAAAGTATTCGCGTCGCTTGATAAACATATAGTTGAGCCACGGTAGTCACTTGGGATATTTAAACATTTTCTTCATTGACTTTCTGGGCCGTCAAGAGGCAGTCCCTTAGGAGCCAATGTGGTAGTTATACAGCTCTCAAATTTAATCAAAAATATCTTCATTTGTGTTCCGAAGACGAACGAAGGTCTTACGGGGTTGGTACAGCATGGGGGTGAGTAATTAATGACTTAATTTTAATTTTTGGGTGAACTAACCCTTTAATATTTTGGTCATCACTATTTATGTTTGTCTTTCTAAAGAAAAAATATAAACCAAATCAAAAATTTGAGCCGGGACCTCTGGTTAAGTTGACGCGGAATGACCCTTTGGTGAACCAATCTAAAATAAGCCAAGATTATATTCTAAACCTATTCTTCAACTGCAAACGTGTGGTCATGTGACATCAGGCCACTTGTGGAAGGCTTTCCAGAGCCAGACACAACACACATGGAGAAACTTGGAAGCGTGTAACAACTTCATGCTCACACAAATCAAAACACAGACCTGAACAGCAACAAACTGAGCTCAGATTTAGCATGGCATCATTCTGACAGCCAACACCCTGCAGTAAACATCATGGATGTGACCCATATCAGATGTGATAGGAAGGGTGGGTGGGTGTGAATGCGTGCGTGTTTAGCCTCTGGGGAGCATAAGGCAGAGCTGCTATTTATCAGGTTACAAAAAAGTGGGTGTGTATTGTGCTGCTCTTGTCGCCTGTATGTCTGCAGTTCAGCCTCTATCTCTCTCTCTCTTCATCCCTCGCTCTCCTTCTCGTGCGGAATGGTATGGAGTTTATCGTCTGAGCATATGTGGATCTCTTCTGCCAACGGCACACGTTGGACAAAACCTTCAATTTCATCTGTCCCAAACAACACAATAACCCTTGTTTTATCATACATTTCTAAACAAAAACACACACACACACGCATGCTCTCCTTCATTCACATGTTGTCTTTCTCTCCACAACAACACAAGCCCATCTTGCAGCTGGTAGCCTAGGCAGGAAGAAAAACTCACGTGACCTCTCATTCTTGACCATCTCTGTAATGTTTTCTTTCAGATTATCTCGCTTAAACGGGGCATTTTAGACTGACAACTGCCGTATTTTGAGAAACTGAACCGAACATGCAACCAAAAACTCTTGAAATCCATTAGGATGTCATCTGAAAAAGTTAAAATCTGCAAAGGGGTATAATAATGGAAAAACAGTTTTAAAAAGTAACTTTTTACCATCTTTTACAACATGTGCATTTTCATGGGTTTAAATGAAATATTTTTGTTATAAGACACAATAAAACAACTTTGCTCATTAAAACCACTCTTTTCCTGGTAGAAAATGAACCGTATTTTCAGAAGTCAATGAATCGGCGACATCTGAATGTAAAATCGTCACAGGGCTCCAAGTCTGAAATAACTTTACTAGGAGCGCTACCTGCTAATTTTTAGGAGCAAAAGAAGATTTAGAGGCACACCTTAAATAAACCTCCAACGCAATTATTCACATTTCCCCCCATTTGGACTAGGCTATTACTAACAAACGACTTGGTAGGTAATAAATAGATTTAACATACAGAAATTACAATGTGCAGTTTTATTTTAAGTTCGCAGGGCTCCAGACTATCATTTGAGTGCAGCAGTAGAGTCACTAAGTTCTACAGAGAGCATTTGGTGGATAATAAAGCCCTGAGCTTAAGTTGAGGTAGGCTATAAATCAAATTAGCTTTAATTATTACTAATCATAACATTAATTAAAAATCAAAACGGTGGAAAAAAAAAACATTAGGGTGTGTAAATAGCTAATAAGCCAATAAGTGCTTGATGGTTTCTATGGTAATTTAATGGGGGGTTGTTTTTGTTTTTTTAAATAAGTGTTAGTTTTCCTACATCTTGAAACTTAGTTTTATAAATGGGGACGATTTTTGGACAAATAATGTTTTGGTCCTCACAATAAAAATAACCTTGAAGATAATATTAGTTTTGAAGATCTAGAAAAAGAGGCCTAGTATTCGTTGACTTGTATTTCTGTCACAATACCAGTTAGTGTTACTACATTAAATCCATGGTGAATCAATGTTGCTGATTTGTGGACTTTCTATAGTTGTGGACTTTCTACTTTCTATATCATGTTTCTCCTGGCTTCCACGTTAAAGCTGTTTGATCTGAAATGTAGTATAACAGAATTCTGCTGCAAATTTAAACGCTTCTAATAAGTAGCGCAGTTCCGTTCCACTTTCATTTCGTTTTCCATTTGATGTTGGGCAACGTTGTGCCAGCCGTGACATCTAACAAAACTGGGAGGAAAAATGGTCACCTGGAGCCCTGTGTCAGTCTCCGAGTAACGTTATTTCAATATGCGTAATGAACTACGCAAAAAGAATGTCTCCATGACATTTCATAATTACCCAAAAATTAAACATAGTTCACCAGTCACGCATGTTATCACGTCCGTCAAAAAATGAGGCTAGCTATCGGTTGTAATATTAGACGGGAAAACAACAACAGCACACTCATGGGCATCAATCACTTCACTAACTGAATACTTGCTGGCTAGGAAATAAAATTATTACTTTTCGATACATCTGTTTTCAAATCACATCATTAGAATATCAAGACATCGATGTCTGTCAAAAAATAACGTGCACACACACTGAAAGTCTGTCATGATATATTTGATTTTTTTTTTTTTTGCAATATCACCCACCCTTCACTCACTAAAATTGAAAGAATGATCAGGAACCTGAGTAAAATACTTCACACTGACTACAAGCTAAAGAGAATAAACAGCAAACTAATTGAAAAACTTTGCGTTCAAATTCGGTAACCGATATATATTGGCCAATAAATCTAAATACACCTATTATATAATTTTTAGAGACCAGATTAAAAAAACAAAAGTCTCAACATTAAAAGCCATGTCCCAAACACAAACACCGATTTTCCCAATTTTTCACTCTATGGCCAACTTTCTTTAACAAAAAAAAACAACAACATTACATGCGTATAAAGCATGAAAATACACGACATAAACATAATATTACAACTTATATCAGCAAAAAATGACAAAAGTACAAGTGAACTTGAACTAAAATACGTGCTAGTCAGAATGTGTAACTCCTGTTGTGAATGGCTATTTCCGTGACAACGCACTGAAACACGGCAATGTCCCAATCATAGTTTGTCATCCATTGCTGTTTGAGCTGCATGCGCTAAGGCTATAGATGATCACCGGAGCACTTTACTACCACGTTATTTCTTAGTTTGAAGTTATTTCTTCAAACACATCCTATATAGTTAAGTCAGATATATACACAAAATAAACAATAATACAACTTACATTGCACAAAACAAAAGGCTGCGAATGCACAAGCAAAGGTACAGTCATAAAGATGTAACTACGTTTTGGATACGCTCTTCCCGTAACACGTGAAACTCACCGAGTGGTCTGGGCGTTCACTGATATGCTCACACAAAATCGCTGCAAAAGATGCTTTCCAACAGGTTTTATCGTAGTTTTTGTACAACTCCATTGACTTGTATTGTATGTTTTGTGATGAACGGTATTACTACGCCACCGGAAACGGAAATGGGGTTGTTTGTATTCTTTCTGTAGTCTTATGCAGTCGCGGTATCGTAGGCTACATTATACAAGTGGTTTGCTTGCATTTGGCAAAGGTGCATTATCGCCATTAAATGGGGGGTGCTACCACATAAACTGAAAATTCTCGGGACTGCAGCATCTGTCTAAAAAACCATCTTAACCATTCTATTTCATCAGAAACAATCTTAAAAAAAGGGCTTTAATAATAAAATACCCAACTTGTCCTTTCAGGGCTCTCATTTTTTTTGTGTGATTTGCTTGCTGTGACTCTCTGATTGGTGGAATATTCTTATAGCTTCACGATTAATGTGGCCTAGTTTTCACAATGAATACCGCTGTTAAACTCGATTATATAACAGACCGCTTCAACAAAAGCATATAACACTGATTAACAACCTTGTTACTCACAACTGTCTGTATTTAAAGAATTATAAGTTGTTAAAAATCAGTTTTAAAACCCGAATGTTGCACTCTATGGAAAATGTCAGAAATGTAACATTCACTTTATGAGGATGCCTTTAACATGATCAATTATTTCTGGAAATGTTATAAATTGTAAGAAATCCATTTGCCAACTCATATCATGTCACAGCTGAGAGTCGGTTTTTGAAACAGAAGTGAAATATGTAAATAAAGCTCATCAGAAAAGGAAACAAAGTTTGCTTTGCTCAACACGCACAGAGAAAACTTCAAAACATTCAAAAAAAACTTCAGCTCACCCTATCTTGTTCGTGGGGCAGCAGACGCACCGGAGGCAGAGAATCCAGAGACACACAGCCCGTCCCGTCATTATGAGAACTCCTGCTTACCAACCGGAAGAGCGGACCTTGTTTTACCACCCGCCCGTGAGCCGCGGCCCGCTTCAGAGCAAGGCGGAGCTGCTGGTGGAAAATGCCTGGCCCCATAGAGCCACTGCCAGACAGATAACCTGCAACATCTGCCTGGCACTTCAGAAAGCGTTCGATGCTCTTTAGGGATGATCCACCAGGTTCGTGAAGCCCCTCCAGAGAGCGCTTGATGAGTTTGTTCCAGTCCAAGCCTGGTTTTTTGCTGGAGCTGGAGGTGCTGGAACTGCCTCCACCTCCTGCCGCCCTGGGTTTCGGGAGCGATAAACGTCCAGGGTTATCGGGGTCCTTGTATGAGTTGAGCCCCTTGTTGGACACCTTGAGTATGGAGCCATCTTTAACACTGAGCTCAAGGTGCTCCAGAACCGTCTTGCGGTCAAGCCCATGGGACATTGACACAGCATTGCAGATGCGTTCTTCGGACGGTCGCTGTTTTTGCTTTTTCACCTTCTTGATGGCTTCCAAGATCCAGGTGGTGTATAACGGGTTTGCCAGCTTCACCATGGCTGCTGTAATACTGCTGGGCCAAAGCCCAACACACTCTCACAACCGCTAGGGAGCACCCAGCGGCCTCGGCCCTGGCGCTGCCTCAACGTCGTTGTCCTCCTCCTCCTCTCTCTTCTTCCAGGAGGCTATCCTTTGTCCCGGGGAGGTGTAGTAATTCTCTCTGTGCCTGAGCAGGAGCTGTTAGTGAGGGAGCCGATCACCATAGCATAGGCTCCCTAAATCCCCCCCCCCAACCTCGAAAAGATTCCCCTAACCCAGTGACCCTTCCTCCTGAAGGGCTGCCACACCAAAGCAAAGAGGTGAGGTATGCAACAGCTACTCCAGGAGAAAAAGTTGCAAGAGCCTTGGGTGTCGTCTTATTTGCCCATCTCAAAAGCAGTCCGTAAAGTAGAATCCTCGATTCTGACAGTTATTGTTATCCGTTTAGATGGAGCATCTTTGTTAAGAATTGTGACAGCACTTTCGGTGAGTTTCGGTTTCTTATGTTGGGGAAACGCAAGTGTGAAAATACTGTCCAGCAGTTCGTTCCTTCCTTGTCGATCCTCCTAGCGCTTTTGGAACAAGCGGTCCTGAACAGAGCTCTCACTCCAGGAAGCGACGTAGGCTGACCATCTTCCTACTGGGTATTCTTCAGAAACTCCTGTAACCTGCACACACACACACACACAAAAAACAAAACATGAAAAGGATTAGCATCTGAAAAGCACAAAACACACATTGCAACCAACAAAATTATTGAACACTCATCAATATTAATCATCCTGCACATAAAAATGGCCGAAAACAGAAACAGTTTTACAGAAACACACAGCCTCACTAAAGGGTAAAATATCTATATGCATTACATGCATAATGACAGCAAACTAACTCCACACCACACTTCAGAAATGTTTGTGTCACACTTTATATTACGAGTACCATGAACTTGTGTTGTACAATGTACTTATTGTATTTGTGTGTTATTGCAAAACACTTTTACTGCTATTGAGGTGGGATAATGTTAAGGCTACTGAAAGGTAGTAAGGTTAGTTTAGTTTTAAGGGTGGGTCCACAGTGCAATTTTGTAATTGCAGGCACTCCTACAGGTCATTTTAAATACAAGTACAACATAAAAACATCTATGTACACAATAAGTGCATTGTATCAAATGGTTAATTGAAATGTTATAGCACATAGTTGTTAAAAACACATGTTTAAACCAAGTTAAGCTTTGTTTTAGCCAATATTATCAACAATAATAGAGCACTTTATTTTACATCCTTGCTACACATGTACTTACTAAAGTAATAACAGCAAATCAGGCATAATTACAAGCAGCTAACCCTAAACAAATCGAAACTCTACTCTAGTACATTAAAAATATTACTTACACTGTAACAATGACACCCTAATATAAAACGTAACCCAATAATCTAAACACAAACAAAACAACTTACAATAGAGAACTGTTAAAAATACACTATTTTCAATGACAGCAGATCAGTGACAAGGGTTATATTAAAACATATGTCTTACAACCAGAGTCCCTGAAACATCCTTTACATGACTGAAAGAAAACCACTGTTCTTTTATGAACAAAATGTAAATCGTGAAATGCAATGCCTATTATTATAACTTCAAACTGACGTTGAGCAACTTCACAACATCTAGGACAGATGGTCAGTCAGAAATCATCTGTAATGAGGTGCTAATCACATGTCAAACTGCAGCAGAAATGAAAGCACGTAATAAATGTCAACACATGGCTAATAGTAAACAAAACAGAAACGGTTCTTGAACGCTGAAAAAATGTAAACAATATTACAAACTGCAGTTTGATAGTGGCTAAACACAAGTAAATATACTTTACTAAAGACTATTAAGGCATATTTTCCCATTCCAAACGATGTAAACTTTGAAGTAAGGAAGCCAGTGCACTGAGCGGATGTTGTTAGCTCCAAAACACAAACAACGTGCAGCTTAGAATAAGGACAATGTTTCCTCCATTCCTCTCCGCGCCTGAGATTTCACACCATAACAATCTGAAAAAGGACGTTTTTATAGACCTTTCCAACCTCATATTCCGTTCAGAAACATCGCGGCCTAGCTGAAAACACAATGCCCGTAACTAGTGGCTACCGCGGTTAGCGCGCCTCAGCCGTTACAAAAAAGGGACGCCAAGATTCCTTCCTTCCTTCCCTCGCGCCAACGTTTGACACGGCCGCGCGCGGCCTCAATCTCTGCCTCGGATAAGCGCATGACAAAAAAAAATCCTCACGCGAGATGTTCGACTGCTCCTCCGCGCTTCCTCCACCATTTTATCCGCCACTTCCTTCCCCGCTTACTGTAACCTACCCTCCCTACCCAACCGGAGAGCCTGCGGTGGCGGTGGTAGCGGAGGAGACGAGGCCCGTGAGGGAAGTAGTTAGGCCTCGGCTAGCTCCCCCCACCCTCCCCCTTCATCTCCGCGTACCCCCCGTTCCCTCTACCTTCTCCCGCTCCTTCCCTGAAAGGCAGAACCACGAGTCCAGTTCGGGCTCAAGAGCCGAGAGCATTCTGAACGCTGCGTGTAATTGTGAGCTACTTACCAGAATTCCGGCTCGAATGGCCGAGGAGAAGGTGCCAGAAAGCGCTCGAAACACAGACAACAACAAGCCCGAAAAATGCAGCCAGAGAGCAGTGGCTCCAGAGCTGACGCCATCTTTGAGTGAAACAGGAGCTTTGCGGGTGGGGGAGGGGGGAAACAGTCGGCGCTAGGGAGCGTCTGCATCGTGCGAATCCGAGTGAGAGAGGGAGAGGCATGGGATAAGAAAGGGACTGCAGCGGGAGGAGAGAGGGGGGATACGGCTGCACACATCTGAAGGGCGAATGTCCGTTGATTCTGCGTGAAATGGAAGAAAGGGACAGATGGTAGAGCGGAAAAAAGAAAAGGCGATGTGGCACGCTTAGGGAACGTCTGAATGTTGCAGTCGCGCCTTGGCAGCGACAAAAGAAATCAAAGCGATGGAGTGTGGTTTTAATGTTAGAGGGTATTTAAAGATCAAAGACGGCCCCTCGACACCTCCCATCGGGGTTCTGCGTAGCCATTCTGCTGTTTTCGTCCCCTGTTTTCAAGAGAAATCATAATGCTGTAAAATAATAAATAAATAAATAAACGCAAACGACAGCGCTTTCACAAAGCATATGTTTTGATTTTGGGGACGGGGACGCACTATATAAACAATGCCTGTGAGAGTCACTACTAGATATGATTATGTAAATTTCCCGCAGTGCTGTATAAGCCAGTGATGACAGGTGACCTACACACACCTTTCCCTTCGGTGCTCCACGCGAGAGATGTTTCAATTTAACACCCACTCGGGAAATGTGAATCTGTTGCTTTAGTGCCATCCCCAGTCATTAATAGAATATTTATGATGTGATGTAGTTGCGTTGTAATTGCAGTAATGTTTGAGCTGCGTGGATAGATTAATATTAGCCTACATAATTATTTAGAGCATGCTCTAGATCATTTTTAAAATTCAAAAGAGGAAAGTTAGGAAACATTATAGTTAAGACTATCATAATTGTTTCAGAATAATTATGTAATACATGGGACCAGGTCTTTCTTATATAAGAAAGAATATAAAACTGATATCTCTGCTTATTTCAATTTTCTTAATGTGTAGCCTAAGTACAATTAGATGACTGTTGACATACTTTGATACATCATAGTAGATCACCTGTTGTGTGAATATGGCCTTTTATATGGCTAACTATAGAAACTGCTATATGGTTAATCAAAGTATAAGCCTATAAGCTAATATGGATCAAATATATTATAAATCAATGCACATATTCACACAATATGTATTTTTGCATGGATTGTTTCCTGAACAGCACCCAATAGTGACTCACTGCTGTCAAGGACTCCAAACAACCCATTTTAAATGTATAGGATACTTTATAGCCTACACTGCAAAAAAAAAATAAAAAAATAAATATATATATATATTCAAGATTTGTAATCACAACATTATTTCTTATGTCAAATCAACTTAAAGATAACATAATATTTTAAATTTCTGATGATTAAATCAATCACCTTCATTGAATTAACTCAATTATTCAATTTCAATGAACTTGAATTTTGAAGGCAGCCAGGTTACTTCATTTTTTTAAGTTAAACCAACAATATTTACAGCAGAATGTCGAAGTCGTTCTTGTCTTTTCGACAGCTGATACCGAGCTAGCTGGCAGGTGTTTTAAAAACAGGAACTACTATATAAGGGAAATGAATTCAGAATTTTCAAACATGGATTTAATCAGGCTTTGTTTACAAAATACAAATCAATCTTTTTTTTGTTTAGAAATGGATCGCCTGTTGGACTAAGCTTGATTAAAAAAATGTGGTCACATTTAAACCATTTGTGGTCATTTTCTAAAGCTGCGGTCTTTCGAAAGAATTAAACTCAGGCATCTAATTGCCAACTGTTCATATTAAAGAGTTGCCTTGCACCTTAAAAGTAAAGTAAAAAATCAGATATTCTTTTTGCATAATGAATGTCAAATTAAATGAATCCTCTGTTTGTGAAGTCCTCCTAATAATTGAATTTATGCTGCTGAAAGTGTGAAAACAGCATCATGTCAACCTCTCAATGCATGAGGGGGTTCTCCTGTTTTTGAGTGCTACCGGCACTGTCACTATAGAAACACACACATATAAAAATAAATAAAGCCGTACTATGAGTAGGTAGCGATGGCATCTGATAGACTTTCATAACACTATGTGGGCGAGCTGTAGTTCCCCTCAAGCACAGACTTCATCAAATAAAGATCATCTCAGTTTAATTAAAACATTCAGTTTAACCGTTGGGTCATTCCCTCTTTGGTAAACACAAAGTGTTAACAAGGATCAAAGCAGGTTTAATTAGTAAAGAAGAACAATACAATTTGTAGTGAAATAAAAGAACTAACCTTGTATGCGAGTGATACAGTAGCAATTCCTATATACTTTTAGAGAAGATCTTCATTTTGTGGTCATCTGATTCTTAGGCTCCAGACCATTCACAGACCAGCAAGCATAATTCAGGTCAGAAAAGCTTCCTCTGACCTATGCCAGTGTTTACTTGAGCTTTTAAAAGGCCCATACTCTTTTGTCAAACATTGGTTTCTCTAATGTGTCGCTGATGTGGATAAAGATCAGGACTGGTGAATGTATGTTGTAAAGGCAATCTTTGTACTATCATCATTGTGCTTTTGAGCAAGACTACAGGGGGAATATCCCTGTAACTTAAAGGAGTAGTTCATTTAAAAAAAAAAAGGTTACACTGTATTTCGATAGTCCACTTTAGACATTAACTATAAGTAACTTTTCAACTACGTCAACTACTGTCATTAGTGTATTAGTAGACTGTCAGCTTAATATCTGCTAACACTTTTTGTTTTGTTGGTCCCCCAAAAGACATTCAACTGACTGAGTAACTTGGCGACTACAAGTAAACTTATTCTCCTAACCCAAACCCTAACCCATAACCTAACAGTCTACTGACTGTCTACTATAATATACTAATACTCTAATGAGAGTTAGTTGACACGTAGTTGAAAAGTTACTTATAATTGTATAATTGTAGAACGTCTAAAGTGACTATTGAAATAAAGTGTAACCAAAAAACCTTTGCTGATAATTTACTCACCCACATGTCATCCAAGATGTCCATGTCTTTCTTTCTTCATTCGAAAAGAAATTAAGGTGTTTGATGAAAACATTCCAGGATTTTTTCAATGAAGTGAACAAATGAACAAATCTTTTTTCGAGGCATTTTGTTCATGATCAAAATGACTCGGAAAAAAGATTTGTTCATTTTGATGAACGAGTTTGAACAGGAGAGTCACGAACGCGCATCACAGAACAGAGCAAGGCGAGCATTTGTGCTTATAAAATTAAAAAATGTGTATTTATTTTTTAAATGACCAATCGTTTCGCTAGATAAGACCCTTATTCATCGTCTGGTGTCGTTTAAAGCCCTTTAAAGCTGCACTGAAACTCTCATTTGGAACTTGAACCGTTTGGTTCCCATTGAAGTCCATTATATGGAGAAAAATCCTGGAATGTTTTCATCAGAAACCTTAATTTCTTATCGACTGAAGAAAGAAAGGCGTGGACATCTTGGATGACATGGGGGTGAGTAAATTATCAGCATTTTTTTTTTTTTTTAAAGTGAACTACTCCTTTAAGATGAGATGCAGAGCACATGTGCCATTGTAAGTTGTGAAAAATAAATTCCCCCAGAAACTATTCTATTCTATTCTATTCTATTCTATTGGTATTAGTTAACCAAAAAAATGAGAATTCTGCCATAATTTACTCACCCACATGTTATTCCAAACCAATGACTTTCTTTCATATACGAAACACAAAATGACATATTTTGGAGAACGTTGGGGTCCGAATAACATTTATATTCCATTGACTTTCATTATATGGACAACAACACTGAGACGTTTCAAGTATAAGAACACAGTGATCCTACAAATGCATCCCCAAAGAACATTTCAGTGAAAAGTTATTCAAGTAACTAATTGGTTTCTTGGTGTGAAGAACATGTTAAGGATCTAAAAGTTCAATGGAAAGGTTCCATTGATGCTAAAGTTTCTTTCATGGAACCAAAACCAAGAACATTTACATATTTAGACACTTGCAAAACGTATTTAGACACTTACATTTAATGCAATGCAGAAAGTAACAAAAAACACATTAAGTGCTGTGAACTTGAACTAGAACCTCAGAATCAACTTCATCATTCACCTTTTTTTGCAATTACTTTTAACTTTTTTGTATGAAGTCAGAGTAAGAGGTGTAGTTCATCACATTAACTATGAACATGTTCCACCAACATTTGATATAGCTACTGTTGTATAATTTAAAACTCTGCCAACCTCTTTTTTCCTTGAGAAATATCCTTTTTGCCTTTTTCAAAAAAAAAAAACCAAAAAAAAAAACAAAATTACTTTCTTTGATGATTTCTTAAAGCCACCAGAACTAACAATTCTGGGTATTTCAAGTGTTTTCTCACAAGTCACAAACTTAAGTCACGTATATACAGTGGGCCAGATATTGACTTTGAAGAAAAAGAGACACTTTTGAAGGGGGTTGGGATGGATGATGACAGTCATGTCCACCGCAGACATCCTTGGAACTAGTCATTACTGCTTTTGTCCGTGTGAACCAGCAGGCTTCCTGCTGAGGCTGGCTCATGGCCAACTCTCAAAACCCAACTTCAGTCCCAAACCACTGCCCTTTATTTCTCCATAACACACGCAAACCCCTCCCATCCTGGAGCAGATTGAGGCCTATACAACGGAAATTTCCAGGCATATGTAACTGAGAGACCAGGCTCACTTTAATCTATCTGTTGGTTCTCACTTTAAAGTCAAAAGGAATTCAAAACTGACCACATTTTCTTCCTTTATATGCTGGGGTATGATTCATGATTCATCATGTGTTTGATTCCAATGTAATCTTTTGGCTGACATCACTGACAAAATTATTTTACCTAACAGCCAAATAGCTTCCAAATCTTCCATGGTTAAACATAATTTTAACATGATTTAAATGACATTATTACAACAATAATGATAAATAATGTATTTACCACTGAATGTTGAGATGCTGAAGTTGAACTTGCATCCATGTCTCAGACATCCATGTCTTGGCTCCCAAAAGGCAGAAGCTAACATAAATATGACCTGATGACTGAGACAGAAAATTGAAAAAATAAAATAAAATAAATGTCAGATTTTGAAAATATCAAGTTGCGCACTGTTTATTTTTTTATTCAATATTCCATTTCAGCAAAAAAAAAAAAAAAAAATGTTACATTACGAAGGTTAAATGTGGACATTTACCTCCAATCTGTCCATTTAAACCTATAGTGCTCTTGAAACTGAAGTCAGGCCTGTTTAAGAGACCCAATCCTCCTCCATCTCACTTTCAACTCAATTGAAACACCTCATCCAATCCACTATAGATGTTTTTCATCCAAAGCCTCTAAGCAGAGAGCAACTTCAGCAAGATCTCTCTGACACTATACTTTAGTTCTGTTTTTCCTGCTCGATCCCTCAAGTGCACAGAAGTGCCCTCCTCATTCAAGTATGAGTGTACTTCTGCCGGTCTGTAGGACCGGGGTTTGTGTCTGCTTGAAAATCTGAATGTGAAATAGTGATTTTTAATAGATAGTTCACCCAAAAATCATTTACTCACCCTCAAGTTGTTCCAAACTTGTAGTTTCTTTCATATTTTGAACACAAAAGAAGATATTTTAAAGAATGATGATTATCCAAGACACTTATTTTGGAACTCCAAAATGGTTCTATATAGAACCATTTTTTTTTTTTGGTAAAAGGTTCTATTGGCCAAGTATGGAACCCCAGGGTTCTATATGGAACCCAGAGGACCCTTTTTTTTAAGAGTGTATAGAACCTTTAGGGGTAGCGCTGATAGAACCTTTTAAGGTTCTATATAGAACCTTTTCTTCTAAGAGTGAACAGCTGAGGGTAATTGGCTTAGGAGGAAAAATAATACTATGGAAGTTAAGGGCTACCATCAACTGTTTTGTTACCATTCTTTAAAATATCTTATTTTGTATTCAACAGAAGAAAGAAACTCCTACAAGGAACAACTTGAGTGTGAGTAAAAGATGATGAAACTTTTTTGGGGAACTATCCCTTTAAAAGCAAATAATATGCTAGTGATGTGTTTTAAATTCAACATGAAATTGTGTTCACAGCTTTTAAATTTTGCTTTTGTAATGTCACATATTTCAAAGTAAGTCTTTAATGAAAAAAATTATGATATATGGTGATTTTTTTTCCATATAGGGAATTAAGACTTGAATGCCTCCCCTTCTGAAACACTGCCAGGATATGTTATCACTTAAGCATTCGGGCGATATTGGTGATTTCAACTGAAAATGAAAGTTATGGGTAACTGTGTCATATTTGATAAGAAAATTTCCAAGGCCTCTAAATTGCCAGCATGATAAAAATATATATAAAAAAAATTGCTGAAAAACCAAAACCACAATCTTCAGACCTTCTGTCATCTGTTTGATAGTTTATGCTTTTTTAAGAAAAAGGCATTAGACCTTCTAATAATGTCCATCTTTAGCTTGTATGAAGGAGTAGTTACTTTAAAAAAAACTTTTGCTGATAATTTACTCACCCCCATGTAACCCAAGATATCCGTGTCTTTCTTTCTTCAGTCGAAACGAAGTGAAGGTTTTTGATGAAAACATTCCAGGATTTTCTCCATATAATGGACTTCAATGGGAACCAAATGGTTCAAGGTCCAAAAGACAGTTTCAGTTCAAAGTGCAAACTGTTCAAAGGGCTTTAAACGATTCCAGAGGATGAATAAGGGTCTTATCAAGTGAAACGATCGCTCATTTAAAAAATACATAACAAAGTTTAAGTTTTATGCTCAAATGCTCGCCTTGCTCTGTTCTGTGATGCGAGTGACTTTCGTGACTCTCCTGTTTGAACTTGTTCATCAAAATGAACAAATCTTTTTTCGAGTCATTTGGTTCATTCAAGGAACGAAATGAACGAATTAACTCGGAAAAAGATTTGTTCATTTTGGTGAACGAGTTCGAACAGGAGAGTCACCAGAATCTGTCTGTCTGTACGTCCGTCTATGTCCATCTTTGTATATATGATCTATGTATCTATGTATCTATGTATCTATGTATCTATCTATCTATCTATCTATCTATCTATCTATCTATCTATCTATCTATCTATCTATCTATCTATCTATCTATCTATCTATCTATCCGTCCGTCCGTCCATCTATGTATGCATCTTTGTATATGTATCTTTATGTATCTATCTATCTATCTATCTATCTATCTATCTATCTATCTATCTATCTATCTATCTATCTATCTATCTATCTATCTATCTATCTATCTATCTATCTATCTATCTATCTACCTACCTACCTACCTACCTACCTACCTACCTACCTGTCCGTCCGTCCGTCCGTCCGTCCGTCCATCTATCTATCTACCTACCTTTCCGTCTGCCCGCCCGCCCGCCCGCCCGCCCATCCATCCATCCATCCATCTATCTATCCATCCATCTATCCATCTTCTTTCCTACATTCAGTTTCACATTGCAGTTATTCTTCATCCTGTTTTCAACTGGATTTCAAATTTAGGAACTGGAATCTCAAAAGCATTCCCAATTCAACCCAGAAATCATAGGCGAAATCATAAAAACGAGTTTATCATAAAAGCGAGTCTTTTTTTTTTCTCCAGTCATTGTGGAGTAGCCTATTCGCAAAGGGGCAATATCTCAATATCAAGGAAACAAAGTCACGGAGCGTTTGGTCCCCTGGCAGCCCACTGTCTGAAAAGAAAAGTTCTTTACTCAAGGTCTGTTAGTTTGCATTATAATTACAATAGGAGGAGGATGGAAACAGAGACATAAACGACATGCTCTTCACATGGTCATGTGACACAGGCCATAGCTGGAGCGTCGTGTGTATTTACAGGGCAGGATACAATGCAGACAACAATGCAACCTAAGACCTTCCTGAATTCCTGCAGGGGCTGTTGGAGGGTATTTCTTCTTTTGAGCCTAGCAGACAATCTATGCCTCTCTCATTCTCACTCTTCCTCCTCCCTCGCTCCTGTTTTGGCAGTGAGTGGAGGACGCCCTCTCCTACTCTCAGCCCAGCAGCGCACACCCCTTAATGCCTCCAAATTTGGAGCTCTTACTATACGTTTCCCTTAAGAGCTCATCAGCGCGCATCTCTCTTTTGTTTTACAGTAAAAATTGACTTCTGAGGTCACGAAATGCCAGACTATATCCTCAAAACTTTATTGATTTAGTGTGTAAGTTCAAAGCCATGTATGTCGCGATTTGATCGAGATCAACTAACCTTTCATGCTTTTTTTTTTGAAAGTCAAAATTAAAAACAGAATAGATATTTATTTCTTTAACAGAAGCGTGAATGATTCAACAGCGCAAAGACGTTATAAATTCCAAAAAAGAAGGAAAATTTCACACTTTATTTTTAACCCCCTCTTATTTTTTTTAATCAAATGTCACCCGAATTGAAAATATAAATAGGCTAATATAATATTAAAATACTATATGTTTAAATATATTTTATAAATTGCACTTTACAACACAGTTCCAATTGTTAGTCAACATTAATTAATAAGTATAGCAAGCATTCAACTAGCCACACCCAAGAACACCCAACAGCATAGCAACACCCTGGAAACCATCCACAAACTAATATCATGTCTGTGACTTTTACAAGGGTACGCATTAATCACATTTATTTATTTAAAACCCTGATTTTATGATTTGTGTTTTGGATCTATTTTGAAACTTAATATGATTTGTTTAGATCATTCTGCATTTTATGTAGTTTAAGTGTAGCAGTCAGATTCATGTTACTCCCAATACTGCATTGTACCTCTCATTATATCAGCTCTGGCACTCTGATATAAGAGCCTGTCAGTCTAATGAGACTAATCGTTATGAAATTGAAGTTAAGAGTCAGTGAAAAGTGTCTTTAATTCAATAGTACAAATCCAAATATGATTAGATCCTGACAGAAATAGCTGAAATGCATTACTACGGCTGGCTGATTGTAGTTATTTATCATTCATGCTCTGTGAGTAAACAAAAAAGCTGTAAAATACAAGGGGAATGTCTCATATGAAATAAAATCAGCTTCGACAGTACATGGAAAATGAATTACTGTTATTGGATTATGTCCGGTTTCCAGGACACACAGAGACAGCTTTCCTGCTCTCTGAACTGTCTTTATAAATTGTCATTTAACGTTGCATTTTTTTAAATTCATACACAGATATTTAATTTACACAACAATGTCTCCCTCTAATAATGCCGTCATTCTGGTCACAATGGAATATTTTCATTGTCATAATTGACGTGGAGTCTGTGGGCGGCTGCTCTGGCTTTTGTTTTGATATCTTCAGATCTCATCACAGGACAGACCTTCTGGCCTGGGACAGCGTGACCCCTGACCTCTGACAATCACTAATCCAATACATCAGTCTGCCTCTGCCCATCGCAAGCTGGTCAACAACTCATGACATCACTGCTTAACCCTGGATAATTTACTCAGTGTGTGCTCAACTAAATCTTCTGTAATCAGATACACTTTTAAAGTTCTGTCGAAACCAAAAAACAAAACAAAAAAAAACACAAATACTTTTAAATGACCTCATTCCAACCAGGCTTCAAAATATAATCTTTCCTAAATCAATAAACTAGATACATAAGGTTTCTTAAAAGGAATCTATTCTAAGTTAATCTAAATTAACAACATTTGCGTTGATTTCCACAAAAATAATTCTGACTCATCCCTTGTTTGTTTTCTTAACAAAAAATGGTAAAAGAAAGTAGCAAAAATCAAGGTTACAGGGAGGAACTTACAACGGAAGTAAACGGGGATATTTTTGGAAGACTTAAAAACAATTACTAATGTATACAATTAATAACTAATGTATATTTTGTCCCATTTTGTCTTGTCCTTTGGTCATCACGGTCAATCATTGAAATTTCCGATTCAATCACACATTTAAATACGGTTGTCAATACAGAAACTTTGTAAAACACATACCAGGTGTGAACAGGGCAACTGACAAGCACCTTTGATTGGCTGTAAATAGAAACCTTTAACGCACAGTAACCAGCATCTATCAGCTGCTACCGGTACTGCAGAAATGCTACAGTCAACTTGTTTTTGTATACCAACTAGTATGCTTGACAACCCTAGTGGCCATAGTAAGAACGTTTAAAAATAAAAAAATAAAAAAATTTACTAATTGGCACTCAATGTAAATCAGGTTTTTATTTTTTATTTTTAAAGAATGGACAGGTGGAACTCTATTTTTGAGGTAATCAATATTATACCAGAGCCCGTCTAACGGAGAGCCTTGGCACTTCCTATTAGCTCCGTTGTGTATCATCCTGGTTGCAGTTCCATTAGAATACCACTGGAGGTGATCGCGGGCGAGAGCAGAATGAATGGGAGTCTATGGGGCTAAACGGCTAAAAGTGTTTGTCGTTAAATTAACATAGATTTTATTGTTGATTCCGCAAGTTCAATATAGATTATAGGCCAAAAGTCGAATGAACGAGTACTTATGTCCTTTTGATTTCTTACAGGTTAGGCCGTTGTTGGC